TTTGCCTTACCTTTAATGATTTAAATGGGTAATGAGAGAGATCAGTTAGTTGTGTAACCGTGTTTACAGTCTGCGGAAGAGCTCGTTAATTCTTGCTGACTCTCCCATATTAAAACCAGGGAATTGCGAAGAGCTGGTGGGAAACCGGCTTGGGAGACAAGTGTCAAAATGCACCCTGGAGCCAACTTGGCCTGGTTCTGTGGTTATCTCTGCATTTGTAATAAACAGTCGTCTTATGTGTTCACCTCTTCTAGCCTTTGTGTTACCATGGCTACCTTTTGGGGGGGTGCCCATTGAAAGAAATCACACGCCTGCTTTAAAAATCCATGGAAACCGACCATCCGGCACGTGGGGTTCCTTGTGAATTGGGAGCCTTCATGGTTCCGATTCTCTAGCTTTCCTTGGCACCTTCCTTGATTTAAGGGCATCTGGGATTCTCTTGTCATCACATGGCTCCAGGAGGTGGGGCTTACCGTAAAAAACATGAAGTATCATGCAGACTGTGGTTTCCACCATCCTTGATTTAAGGGCATCTGGGATTCTCCTGTCATCACATGGCTCCAGGAGGTGGGACTTACTTCGTGTTTTTTTACGGTATCATGCAGACTGTGGTTTCCACCACGGGAGTGGGCAGCACTGCATTAAGAGGGCTCTGCTAGGCCATCAGAGACTGAGCAGGAATATTATCCCCTGGTACAAATAATTTGCCTTTTAATAGGGAAGTTGTGGCTTGTGCATGGCCAACAGGGGCCGATTTTTTTTATTGTAGAAGGTTTTGCTGTTTGATTCCTGTCAGGGAGACAGCCTGGGCTTGGAGGTCCGGAGCTGTGTTCCCGCTAACTTTTCTGGAATAAATTTTATGTGCACTGAGGAATGTGCACCACTAGTAGTTGCCTGTTCCTCCAAGGGCGGCTGTTAACAGTCGGCCAACAAAAAGCCTGTAGGTTTCCTTTTCGTTCACACTGGGGCCCTTCTATACGATTCTGGTAGCATCAAGGGGCCTTCAAGACGCATTAGTTCCATTAGTAACTCACTCGTAGTAGTGTCAATGAAAATCTGGCCAATGGTTAAACTTTGGATTCCTCTCTGCGGTTGGCAGCCCAAATGTTAGTTTCTGGCTTCTCCTAAAGTAGTTCCCTGTGTTGTGGCAGGGTCTCTTTCTCTGCCTGCTGCTGCCTAAAACATTTTTTTTTTAAATGGAAAATTAAGGCTTCGGTCCAGCAATGGGGCTCTACCCAGGTGCCGGAATCTGCCACGACTTCCAGGTCGATGATGTTGCTTTTATTTTAAAACCTCTGTTCATCCAACGCGCTCAAAGCGCTGTACAAAAGAGATCGGTGTCGTTGTCCCTCTTTGACAGAGGGACTGAGGCACTGACGTCAAGGGACTTGGCCAAGGTCACTCACCAGAGCAGTGACAGGGTGCAGAATAGAATCCAGGTCTCCTGAGTCCTAGCCCAGTGTGCTGTCCACCACGCTACACTGCCTGCCTGTTGAGAGCAGAGGTCGGGTCCTCTCTCACTTCCCAAGCTGCCACTAACGATTGGCTGTCTTAAACCTGCTGAAAGACTTGCACAAGCCAAAACCAAAGCTGTTAACTAAAAGTGTCTCTTGGCAGCCAGCATCCTAGGGGTGGCAAGAGGGGAGCACGGTTTGATTTCAAGGAAGCCGGGAAGACGTCTTTGCTCTTGACAAAGCAGGAGAGTGCAGGCTTGAGGCTCGTGGTGGATTTTAGACCAGGTTTAGGGGAAGCGCCTGTTTGCAAGGGCGGCTTTGCAAAGGGAAGCCATGAAAATACATGGTCTTTCATGACTGCGTTTGATTTGCTCCGGCAGCACTTGGGTTTGCTTGGTTTTCTCGTCAGCGCGGCCGGAAGGGATCAGGTTTTCATTTGTCGGGAAAGGCACAAACAGGGCGAAGGGGAGAATTGGGCGGCTAAACAACCTCTCCTACACACCGGGGGTGACGGGGAGTCCTAGGGCAAAGAGCTGAATGTTGTGAATTGGCTTTTTGTGGGCCCTGTGCTTGTACAGCGTCTAGCACAGCACTGCTGTGTCACAAGTAACCAGCAATCAGAAATAAATCAAGGCCGTGACTTCCCCAAATGTCCCCTCTTCCCTCCTTTGGACAGGTGGCGTGGACGTTTTGTAAAGTACTCGGTGTGTCACACATTCAGAGTTGGGTCTGTAAGTAGTAGGAACACTTAGCCAAGTATCCTAGAATAGAGATTTGAAACACCGTGGATCCTTAGCCCTAGGCAGTGTCGTTGGAGTGCCGAGTTGGCGTTGAGTGGATGGATTATTTAGAAAGCTCCTTTTTGGGGTGCGTGGGTTTGTGAATCAGTAAAAATGAACAATGGCGATACAAGGGCTCTTCTCCATAATCGCGAGGCTGGGGGCCAGGTTATTGTGGTGACCTCTATTGTTCAATGCCTCTAATGGTGGGAGAACGTTAATTACACATCGGAATAAACCTGCTGCCTTCCTGTTGTCGTTCTGTTTGGGTAACTGCCCCTTTCTCGTCCCCTCTCGTTTCGACCTGCAGCTCTTCCCTTTGGTACAAATCGTGTCCCAGTAACTCTAGGCCCTAACCCCATGAGAGGTTTAATCTGCAGGCAGGACTGGCCTTGATTCAACACTGCAGAGCTGCAATGAAACAGAGACAAGGGCATATGCTTGGCGGGGAAGAGGGGAGGTTGCTTGTGCAAACACCGGCATTATGTAATCTCTACTTGGGGACAGAGGTGAAGGCAGGCGGTGGTGCCCTGGTGTGCAGCTCTGGCAGGAACTGTGGCAAAAGCCAGTCGGGAGCTATTTAAAGAGCTGGCAGGAGCAGGGTTGGGCTAGGACGGTATCTTTAAGAAATTTAAGTTCCTTTCACCCCCTGCTTGGGGAACAAGGTCCTGGTGGTTAGATTGCTGTTCCTGCGTGTCGCAGGCCTTGGAGAGATCCCTTATGCCGGCTGCATCTGATCCCTGGCTAGAGAGGGCTCCGTTAAATGCTGCTTTGTGGCAGGGCTCAAGCCAAACGCAGTCCCCATCACTTTCCACTGAGGGCGCTTGATAGTTTTGCCTCTTTCCCCACTTGGCTACTGGTCAGTTTCAGTCTCTGGGTGTCAGATGCAGGCTGCTCTTCAGCTTCCATAGAAATGGTGGCGGGGAGGGACCGCGAGAGGCCAGCGAGACCTGCCCCCTGCGCTGAGGCAGGGCCCAGCATACCTAGCCCATCCTGAACAGGTGTGTCTCACCTGTTCTCTCCCCCCTCTCCCCAGCGATGATGCCAGCATGTCTTTGAACTGCTTTACAGCGGGCTGTTTACTGTCCATATTGGTGACTCCCCTGTTCATCCAGCTCTAAAACAGGCTGGCCATGGCGGGAGGAGCTTGAATGCCAGCTTAGAGTAGCAGCTGGTTACACTGTTGGCCCTGGCTGGAGTCGACTCTACGGGGATGCCCTGGGCAGTTTCCACCTTTCTGGTTTTAAGGTCGGGGGGAAGGAGGGGGTAGAGGAGCTCCCCAGGTGGCTTCTTTGTAACCCTGCTCTGTCGGCTTTTGTAGCCTCGGCTGGTGAAGAGAAATGCAGCAGGCACAAGGCAACGCAGCCTTCTGGCTTGCGGGGGGGGGAGTGAGAGCTGATGCCTGGCCTCCTCTCCCCAGGTCAGGGCTGAGACAGCAAAGCTATGGAGCAGAATTTGGGGAGGGGGTGGGGGTTCTAACCTCAGGCTCTCTAATCGCTTCCCCCCCCTTCCCTTTACACCCAGGTCTTTGCCCACGTGGTCCTGCATCTGAGAGCTCTGTGGCCCCTGCTGGTCCTCCCTAAAAGCGGGTGCTGCAGTGGAGCAAGGGCTGCTACCCTGAACTGTCTGGGGCATCCCTGCTCACGCAGCCGGCTCCTTTCCTTCCCCGCCCT